TGGATTCACAATTGTATCAATTGCTTTTCAAAATCTAATGAATGATATTTTTTTAAAATAGTTTTGATGATTTTATCATTCTTCATCTAAACAACCTTTTAATCTATTCTTAAAATATAAAAGAGTAAAAAAAAAATTTTTTTTATGTAATACAAAAATTTAGACATGCAAGATTATACATCAAGATGAAAAAAAATTATTTTATATAACTAAAGTCAAATAATGGCCATATAATGGATATTAAAATATATATATTAAAAGATTTGAAGATTAGTAAGAGACATCTAATACTTTTTAGAATTATAAATTACTATTAGATTTTTATCAATTTTTTTTTTCAAATTGTAGCTTTACTTGTATTTTTTACTTATAAAGAAAAACTTGAGTAGAAAAAAAAATTAAATTGGCACTTGAAGCTTTAAAGATAATGTTTACTTTTCTACTAATCTTATATTACATTGACTTTTTTAAGGCATTTTTTATACAAAAAAATGAATTAGACTTTGCTTTAGATACAATATTTTTTATAAATAGGAGAAAATGATAAATTCCACTTAATATTTTTTTATTCAAGAAAAATTTTAGTAATTAAGATCAAATATAAGATCCATAATAAAGAATTTCTTGAAAATTTTGATTCTTTTCAAAAATAATACCATTACCTAAATGGTGCTTCGAATCTAGTTATTATTTATATAGATTACAAGAACGTCAAGTATTTTATGCTTGCATGCATTTTGAATTATTGCCAAGTTTGTCAAAACATGTTTTTCTTGAGATTTGTATTTAATATCATTTATTGGCTATGATAACAACAATGTTTATTAGATGTCATTTTTAAATATTCTTATCTTGTAAAAAAAGAATGAAAGAGAGCTTTTAATCAATAAAAAATTATTCTTTTGAAGCTAAAATAATTTAATTTTTAAAAAAAAATTAATAATATTTATTATTATCATAGATTAGCAACAAATATTATATCAAATAGAAAGATTTAATTTGTATTAAGATTTTTTTCTTGATTAATAAAAAATTGATATTAAACAATAAATTCATATGATTACAAATATAATGGCATAATCTAAAATAGAGTCTAAAGATATCTTTCTAGAGATTGAATTCCTTTATAAATTACTTAAGTCTGTCTTAGCTTGTATAAGCATCCAACTTATCAATAATTCATTTTTGGGGCCTTTCTACATAAAACACTGAATGAATAAATCAAAGAGATTAATACATAGTATAAGACAAAATTTACACAAAAAAAATTTTAATGACTTGTATAATAATGTAGAATAAAAAAATATATAAATTCTTGAGATTTTAAAATATTATCTTTTATCCTTCTTGAATTAATCCTAATTCTTAATTTAATCCTAATTTAATCTTTGGATTTTTTCTATAATTATTTTTAATTATATAATCAAGCTTTTAAGTTGCCATTGTATTAACAACAACCACTTTGAGTAATCCAAAAGGTTGTTATATGGTTATCATCTATGATTTGATATTTTTGACTTGTCAAAAGTTAATAATCCTAAAGTAGAAGATTTGGAAAAAAAAATTATTAGAACTAAATACAAAAATAAAACCATAATTTAAAAAAAATAAAGAATAAAAAAAATAATAAAAATACCTAGTATAAAGAATAACCTCAATTTTATGTTAATAACAAGGTATAGTTACTCTATTATAATATCAAAACTATCCACCTTTTTAATAAGTTTGATTACAATACACTTGAATCATTTCTTACTTGTAGTATTAAAGAAATAAAGAATCAATAATTAACAAATTTAACTTAAGAGCTATGATTTGTTGAGTTATTAGATAAGACACTAAAGTTGTAACAACCTTTAAGATAGTATAATAGAAATAAAGACCTTTTAAGAACAACATGTTCTTTGAATAGAAGGCAAAATATAGTCCATTTGATATTATGACCTTAAAAAATAGTTTCAATCTTTGGTGATATTATTAAAGGTAGAAATCACTTTTAGTAGTATTTCAAATGTTTTATTTGGAATAAGCTATAAATACCTCAAAAATAATCAAATAATAAGGTGGTCTTTATACCTAGGTATGAAACACTATTAATGGTTGAAAGGACTTATAAACTACCTTCAAAGAAAACAAAAATTAAAGTATGTATCAAATAAAATTTATTGTATCTTAAACTTTCTTCATATATCATCATCACTTCTTATAAAAATTCATTGTTAGAAGAGGATATAATGTCAAAGATATAACCAATACTAATAATTATCTAAATAAGAAGAGTTGGATAGAAGTAAATAAAATTGAATAAATTTGATAATATCTTATGAAAAAGCTTCATAAAGGCAGATTTGATTTTACATGTCTTTATACGTGATTGATAGGTTGCAAGCTTAGACAACATATTGGCCATGTATTGCTTATATTAGCTATTTATAATAGAATTTGGTCATGTAGTGCACATATAGAAAACTTACCTAGTAAGTTAGACATATGTTTTAGAAGTTGGACACCTCTTAGAGATTTTATAGAAAATTGCCATGTAACTCTTAATTAGATAGTATATATAGATGCAAGATTGAGACTTTTCTTATTCTTGTTAATTCTTTTCTTACTTCTAATTTGGTTTCAAGAGACATTAGTTTTTTTAATTTTTGGCAACAACTATTCTAGTTTCTTTTTGAATAAATATATATATATATATATATATATATATATATATATATATATATATTATCAACTCTCTTTGATATATGTCTCATTTATTTAATCAAGTTCTTTGAATTTTTATTGTTGAAAAGCTAATGGAATTTTTTTTAAATATGAAATATGTAGGAAATTTTTTGTAAGTCATGTGGCATATCTATAAGAGTCTAAATATCTAATTCATATCTAAAAAAACTCCTTCAAAGGCATTTAAAGAAGATATTTTCTATCTAATATTTTTTTAATCTACTTCTATTTATTTTTATTTATTTAAATAATATAAACATCCATTATAGTATTTTTTTATTAAAAAAAAATGAAGATGAACAAATAAGAAGTTTCATAAATTAATAAAGTTAAATATTTTTTAAATTTTATTAGAAATAAACTCTAATTTATATTTTATATAATGGTAGTTGATAGGTTCTTTGAATCATTAATAATTCCTCATATTCAGACAAAAATACCACATAATTATATAATCATTGTCAAAGCCATCATAACTACTTTCAAAAAATATATTTTGCATCCTATAATGTGAATTATCTACTTCGACCAATATCACTAAGCATCAAAAGACTCTTCTAAAATTGTGATATTATATATGTTGTAAATTTCCAATCTATTCAAAAAAAAAAAAAAAAAAAAAAAAAAAACACATCTCTTTTTAAGATTTTTATCTTGATTCTATCCTAAAAGTTGAGTCAGTTTAAGTGCTTCTTCTAACAACTATTAGAATAATTTATTAATTGTGGTTTTAGTATGGTGTGGACCTTCTACCTACTTTTGGATGTTAAAAGCTTCTACAATGTATTAATTACCCTAATTGTTTTGATGTACCTCCACCCCCTCAAACTTATATTTCTTGCTTGTATTCTTAAAAACCACACATTATGTTGGAACTCATATGTTCATTACTTACATATGATGCTATGCTTGCAACCTTGAATAAATTCTAAGAATCTACTTATTACAATACCTTGTCTCTTTTATGATTACTCTTAGATTAAACAAGCACTAAAATAATTCTAATTCGTACTTACGCCCTAAACATATACTGACAACATTTGCACTCTAAATTTTAATCTATAAGGAAACACTAAATTTTCACTAACAAAATTTGTGGTGATTGTGATTGTTGCACAACTGCACCAGGTCTTACTCAACACTGCTCCATCACCCAAGCTTAAACTCCAGAGCAATTGTTCTCTACTTCCAGTCCCACAGTTGTAATAACACAGATTAAGTCTCCACTCACTGAACCCAAAGTTTGGCTTCTAAACAAGGTATACTATGAAGCCATGAGATTGAATATCACCTGGTCATCAGATCACAGCCAAAAGCAAACTGGGAATCTTGATGGAACACAGCAGTCCTCAGTCTCTGCAATATAACCATCATCAAGGCTCATTTTTATGTGCCAACCCAGTCTTGTCATGCTCTGATCAGTGTGCAATTTTGGCAAGGCACCAGATTGGATGTCTCCTTTTTCTTATCAGCATCCACCCAACTAAAAAGCTTGAGAAGGATTTGATGGCATACAGATGATCTTACCTTCAAGTGAAATTTTATAGAATCCACAGCCAAGTAACATTGATGCGAGTAAATCTTGCAGATGAGTTTACGAGACTGCAAGTAATATATAATTTCATAGAAAAGTGAACCAGGGCAAACCGATGGTAGGCTGTTCTGCAGGAGATCCACAATCTTGCAGTTGTCCTTGCCTCCAACCCACCTACATGAATACATTTTATGGCAAAAACTTCTTGAATGTTACAGCTTGTCAGCTTCTGAAACTGACAGAACTTTCATTATGTACAGAGTTCCATGGTAAACAGTGATACTGTGCAAATAAATGACTTCTGACAGTAATCGTTAGGAAGTGCTCTGATATCGCTTTGTGACGAAGCTAGCCAGTGTAATCAGCTAACTGGAAAATCAGTCCGTGGATATCCATATTCTTTCTCATGACAGTTAAAGGCAGAGTTGAGCTGTTGTTTTTAGCAAAGAAGACTCCAACTGTAGAGCTATTCAATCTCCAGCACACATGTCCACTGATAACTTGTATGTGCCCAAGGCAAAACACCATAGAAAAATCAAAGCAGGTGGACTGCGCAACCTGGACCAAATTGAACAACGTAAATGATTACGAAGCTCCCCCCTCTGCCACTTCAGGTGACGAGGTCTGAGGTCTTGCGACAACTGGGTTCTTTGAAACCGCTTTACTGTTTCATTCAATCATCGTCATCAATACCAAATCATGAGTCTTCAGAGAAAGTACTCAGAACGTCTGAAGCTGCATGCTCCACCTCGTTGTCTTTTTCCAGCATTAAGAAATTCTAATGCACGGTGTATGCAGTGTCCTAGCAAACAATCAGTATACAATCACAGGCAGGATTACAAACAATCGGTCATAATGCGTCATTTGGTACAAGAACTATCCTTGTTACTGCAATAAGATAAGAGACTATCTGCCGAGCCTGGCTGAACGTAACCGCATTGGATACAAAAAGGAATTTGCATACTGAAATTAAATTATGACGCCGTGAAACAGTGGGCTGTCTTCATTCACGAGACAATCGTCACTAGAATTGTGGTGGAAAATGTTGGGATTGGGAGGTGGAGACTTGGCCAACCAGTCACAAAAGACGTGAATGCCTGCTGGTGCGGAATAAGGTACGATTCTGTCGACTATCTAGCACTGAAGAGAGGAATTCCTGATCCATCAAGTCCGTGCGTTATCCTAACGTCTGTAGTGATGCGCACATCTGCAGTTTCCAGCACAAATATGGGCACTGGATTATTCACTATTGAGGATATCAAAGAGTGGAGCATCTTAAATAAAGTTGCTCAGAACATCATGAGCACTAGCAATTATATCTTCTCCGGGATATATCTAGCAAATATCACCCTTTTTAATATGTTCAGGTGTTCTTGTAGTTATTCCAATCATCTGCACATGAGCTGCAAGACCTATAAATTCAATTTAACATTAAAACATTGTACGAAAGACAGTGTGGTAACCGTCTAACGTTACACACGGTCAAAGCCATATGCATCAGTCCCTCCTGTACTGAGACTTTATTTGCAAAACCTACACTAGCAGTTTTAAATCTTATGAGAAACATTCAGGAGTCCCTCCCGAACAGGGACTTCATCTGCAAAACCTAGCAGATTTAAATCTGATAGGATACATAAAAGAGTTAGCGTATGTGAATCTCACAATTTCCCCTTGCTTAAGAGGTCTTCCTCCGTTGACGAGGCAATCATTATATGCTAGTCTTTGGAAGATGTTAGGATTAACGAGTGAGGCTGACGCAAACCAGCCACAGTATACATGGACTTGTGATGGAGCACAGCCAGACATGCACGTGTTCACTATTTGCACGGAAAAGTGTGGCATGCCAGGAGAACCATCAGGGCCTTGGGAAATGCTTATGTCTTTGTTGGTGCACAAATCTGCAATAACATCGCACATGCAACAGCATTACTATTCATTTGCCCAAATAGTCGCCTTGTAAAAAAGTTTCAGGCGAACTGCTCTCTTTGACAATTGATCATCCTTTAATTAGACACAAGTTCCCATCAAGAAGATAAGTAAACTTACTTCTTGTTTGTTGTAGCATTCGCCGGTTACGGTTAAAGCTTCTCCCAAAGAATTTGTTGTCGATGTCGGTACCAAGCATGGCGTTGTCCCACGTTGCAATCTCTGGCAGGTCGGAGTAGAACTTGGTTAAGTCATTGCTTCTCTCAGTACCTACACGCATCGTAGAAGTCACACCCTAATTATGCTCGATAATATTCTTGAAAACAAACATCGTTGCATTGGAACAGATGGAAATTTGAAAACTCAGAGGCAATCTGACAAAAAAAATTATCAGCTGCCACACATATCTAACCAAAGGCAACACGATGATAGCGATGTTTGAAAAACAAGTCTCTAATTCTCCGAAGATAATTGAATCATCTGCGCAAGCATACTAATCTTACTCGCCCAGCGAGAGTCGAAGACTAAGGATTGTTCAGTCATCAGAATTCAAACTGGGGATGCTGGAATAACCAATTAGTATTCTGCTTGGTGATCTTTTTATAAAAAAAAATTGGACCAACTGCAGTCACAATTGAATACTAAGTGATGTGCTCTTTCGCCAATTTACTGTCTTCCATTGCGTGTGCCCCAGGTAAATGAGCATAAACATGGTCAATTAAGTGGCTGGACTTTATCATCAGATGTATAATGCCCAGGAATTTTCACAGAATATGAATCAGTACTCTAAAACGGGTCATGAGACAAGTTGTCAAAACCTGTTCTAAACTCCAGCATGCTTCCAAAATATCCAACTCCGTGGCAGTTTGTTTGATACAATCTGTTTCCTGATCATTTGGAGTCGGATGTCTAGCTGGTGTCTCTTTAGTATCAGAGTCTTCAAAACGAAAATTAAAGGGTTATACATAGATCGTACGAGACTTGGGCGTCATAACGAAGCAACGTCAAAATGGCCGCTTCAGTAACGAGATCAGGCAATCCGAACTACAAATATCTTGAGAATCACTCTAATGTACTGTTGTGCCATCCAACGAGCAAGGACACATCGACATGGAGATAAACAATTTAAGGTCATTACCGATAACATGACGAGAATCCGACATGCGATTCCAATGTTTCGGTCTGCTATCCGCTCTTGTCCTCTGTGTGCCATATTGTATGAAATGCTTACCACTAAGAATGCTGGAAGTAGGCAACTCAAGGTCACTCTCCGCACCTGTGACAAGAAGTGGCATGATTCGCGTCATTCAGAATAGGCACGATCAGATCAACAGCCACTGAGAACTTCAGTGCGCTTGCCACTGCAAACAATGAAGGCTAAAAATAATATAGACTGCAATTCGTCACTGTCGAATAAAATGAGATGTGAAGTCTCAAGCTCAGACCTGTTAAAGCCTCCGCGTGCACAAAAAAATCTATTGGCGAGCTGAAAAAGAGAACGGCGCAAATGATTGCCCGAAAGAAACTTTGCGGAGTACGGCACGTACAATCCGGTACGCGGTGGAGTGACATTTTTGGCTTCCAACTGTGACGATTTTGTTTGCAACAGCGCTAACGTGCAAGCAGGAAGGCTGCAACCGAATGGCATACTGCAGCAGAATTCGGATCCTGTTCATTCTCCCGCAGTCTTCCTCTTCGAACCCGCACTATTGTCTCAAACCGTCGCTCAGAACACTGCAATGACTCCACGTACCATTCACACAATACTTTCGAACATACGCCCTGGCACCTGCCGAAGTGCTGCTTAGATCCACCACGACAGTCAGCTGGATCCCGCGGCCGTTCTTATCTCCACGAGCAACTGAATCTCCTCCCCGAATGTTCAACACCGAGAACACACCACAACGCAAGTCCTTCCCCGTCTTTTTAAGTGCTTCCAGTAAGCAATAATCAGAATCTTAACCTTAACCACGCCTCTCTCGCTCTCTCTCTCCCTCAAGAGAACAACAAGATAATGCTCAGTAAAGCACAGCGAGGTGAAAAAGAAGGGGTAGAAGTCTGAAGACCAAGAGTGCGAACACGACGACCGGGTATTTGTGGCCCGGGTGATAACAAGTCACCCTGCCCAGCCCAGCCCAGCCCAGCCCGGCTGGATCTAACCCCGCCTCCAGTCCCACTCACACAGATTAATTTTGAACAAACACTAATTAACCAAGAGGGACAAACCCCCCCTCAAGCAACGACTTAATTGAGGGGATGACAAAGCAATAAATAAAGGCTCTGAACAACCCTACCCTTTTCTAGGGGATAAAGAACTATCATTTTACTTCGTTCATTATCATCCTTTACTGATGGTACCATTATTACCACCTAGATTTTTAACCTTTACTGTTTATTTCCCTTCTAAATCTAGATGTAGTAGTTTGATATTATGTTTCCTAGTTCATTCAAATCCATGCATGTTCATAAAAAAAGACTTATTGCGTTTGTTTCCACAAAGAAACAACCTCAGTGGATGAATGGATGGATGGACAATAGTTTGCATTCAAAGTAGGTTGAATTTTTCACATTGAGCACCATTCTAACTTTGAACATTTTTTGAAAAAAAAACAGTATCAATGTTTTAAACATAGTGGGTGTTTGTGTGTGTGTCTGTGTAATTCAATCAGTTTTAATAATAAAAACTATTACTTATTATTTTAATATAGACCTAAAATTTAAAATCCAAAATAACATTAATTTCTAATTATTAGATGAAACAATATTTATTTGTAAGGATCATTGTTCTTCTTTGATCATACCTTTATTAATATTCTTCTTTAGTTATTTTCTTAGAAAAAAGATTAGTTGATATAAACCAACTTTTAATTGCTATATAATATGTAAATTTTTGTGCTAAATCTCATTAAAGCAATAACTTTTTTTGTCTTTATATATATATATATTTATATATATATATTTATATATATATATTTATATATATATATATCATAAAAACAGTCAGTTACTTATAAATTGTCCATGAAAAACTGTACTTGTTCTTTTAAATCCTACCATTGCTCCATGATATTTTATTTTTTTATAAAATAATAATAATAATAGTAATAATCAAATTTTTTAATACAACTTTTTTATTAAGATAGTCTTAATTTTTATCATTTGTTACACTATCAACATCTTTTTTGTTGCCATTTTAAAAATCATGTTGTATACAAAGTTATCTTATAATAATTATATATTTTTTCCAACTTTGCTTTGAATCTCCACATGTTGATATTGATGTAACATAAAAACATTAAAAAATATATTTTATAATTTAAATTTGTTAATATTTAAATTTTACACATCTATTATATAGATTTGGATATATCCCAAAGAGATAAAGAAGTCTTTTGATTGGCTAAGAAGAAAGGAACTTGAGAAACTTCGAGAACATAAGAACAAACATAGAAAACAAGAAACATGAAAACAAGGGAACTAGAAAACATAGGAACTAGAGAACATGGGAACCAAGGAACATGGAAACAAAGGAAGGTGGAAAAGAGGGAACATAGAAACAAAGAAGCATGAATGAATGAAAAAATGGATCGATGTGCTAGAGATTGTAGTGCCAAATGGCACAAGTTTTTGTTACTTTATCTATAAGTTGCAACTTATTTAAGTATGATATTATATCATTGTTGGTACAAACTTAAATTGAATTTGGTTCTCTGATTATTGGTTTAATTAGAAATCAATATTTAGATTAGACAATTTATTAGATTAAAAGCATCATAACATATAGTGATAGTGGTGAAATTAAAGAGGTGATGCATTTAAATTATTTAAATATCTGATTATGAAAGTAACAATTTAAAATACTTCCAAGTACTTAGAGTATTGTGTATGTGCTAAGATGACTTAGAAGAGTAAGAAAATGCACTAAGTGGACTAATTAAGAACTACAAATTAAAATTTTAGAAAGATTTGCAAAATATAATTGTAATTAATGATAAAACCAAATTAATACGTTTTCATACACTGGTACTTTAGAAAAAAATTAAAAAACAGCATTCATAACTGCTTATAAAACTTTAAAAATATATAATTGAACCAAGCAGGATTTGATCCCAAATTCTACTCCAACTACCATTTGCATGAACCAATCTATATCATTTTAAATTTTTATTATAATAAAATTAGTCTACATGTAGTTTTTTTTCAAAAAATTACCAACATATCATTTATCCATGCCACACTAATTCAATCTAAAAATTTACTATGAAAAATCTCAATAAATCCAATGATGACGTTAGAAACATTCAAAGTCATTATTTCAAAAGGCTCCCAACATACACTGAGGATCCTGCCTTTCAAAATTCTATCAATGTGAGATGTATGAGATCAAATGCAACATAGAATTTTCTCACTTCTTTAGCTCCCTTGTCAACAATCTTACTGGAAACAAAAACAAGCATCACAAACTTTGACCTCTTTATTTTAAAGGTCAATGTTGGGAATAACTCTGGCTCACAATTGCAAACGGACTGTGGGTGAAGCTCAAGCACTCAAGTTTTCTGAGGAATTGGACGTTGTCTAGTGCACCAGTTTCTTTCAGGAGTTAAACGAGGGTAATTAGGTTATCAGAGATGGAAGGAGTTGTATAAGTTTAACAGCAAAAATGGGTTGTTCAGTTTGTGGATATGACAGATAATGACAGTGAAGGAAGGCAAACGACGAAAAGAGATTAGAAGTTGACGCGTGCATCGGGTGAGGCAGGTCAGGGGAGGAAAGATGCGGTGGGAAAACTATAACATTCATTGCATTGATATTCGTTGCACAATTGAGACAGTTAAGTTCCGGCACAAATTCTGTTTAGGTTTGTCAAATGGGTTATCCCCGCCACCACTCGTTGATGCTGCTGTCTTCGGATGGAGGGTAATATGGATTTAGAACCCGAGATGAGAGTCTCCGTTTCTTCGACTTCCTTTCCGTTAATGTGCTCTCTACTACGGAGTGCACCAGTGGATACGGTTGGAACGAATGTGTCTGGTGTTCTCGCCCTCGTTAGTGCAAGCTAGCTTCAAAGCTCCTGGTGCATTATTCTAAGACCCAGACACTTGGCTGGTCTTCCAGAAATTATCTTTCAATTTTTTTAGTAATCTTTAGGAAAAAAATACCACTACTATGCTGCCGGCTCCTCAGCACATATCTCTATACATTCCAGTATTTACAAGTTTTTTAGTCTACAAAGAAATAGCATCTCCAATGGCATTAGACTCCAGGAAATGATTCGGATGTGATGCACTGACGTAACGTGGAGATTTAGAGGGTGTCTGTAATGTGCCAGGTTTGTTGAATGGCTTTGATTGTTCAAGTTCAAAACGTTTGGTACAGGGCGACAGTGAATGTTACAGCCATGGATGCGGCAAACACGGCCACAACACCTGCTAGGCTTCCCTCCCGTTTTATTAGGCAGCGTTCGCCTGGATACAAATAACATAAACATGTAATGCGCAAGGAAGAAACTGAACTGAGAGTTTTCTAGAAAACCGGAAGACGATCTCAATAATAAGCTACCATGGAAAGATCAGGTTTGCAGTCTGGTGTGTGAACTAGACTGGTTGAGTAATATTCACTTTTGGAGATTCAAGTCAAAAACAGACTCAGCATGATGTAGTTTACTGCTCAAATTCTCTCTACACACATCGTATTAAAATGATTGTGATTTCTTCTCCATTCTTTTGAGTGTGACTTTTAATTTATTTGTTCCTAGAGGTAAAGAGGTAATTTGGTTAGAATCACTAAAAAGAAACAAACGAATGGTGTGAACAAAACAAAAGCGAATTTGGTTAAGAAAACATTTGTTTACATATCTGGATTCTGATCAACTAGAGAGATTACAATAAATTTAAACTCTTACCAGTCCAGACCATAACACCCAAGGATGATACAATCCCAAGAACGTGGGCATCTTTGCCAGTTTCTCTGCATCCATAACCACCATGAGCAAAACCAAAATGATAAATAAATATAAAGTAAATATATTTTTTTTAATTGTACATAAAACAGGAAACGTTTTTAGAGGAAGAAAAACAAGTAGAAGAAAAGTAAATAAAAATAATACGAGAAAAAACCCGAAGCATTAATTTCTGAAATACCAGACAAAACTTTCGAGAATTGTGGAACTCACACATTGAGACGTAACGCTGAAACCGCCAACAGGAAAAAAAGACCAAGCCCTGTTCGGATGAACTCAAGGTTCAAACCATCATCCTTCACCCAAATGGCAATACAGTAACCTAAATGGAATGCTGCGAAGGCAAGTGTCAACATTGGCAAGAGAAATATATGATCGTCGGCATCGTCGTCCCCTCCGCCACCTCCACCGTGGCCATCCCCGTCGTCACCTCCTTTTCCATTACCAGGAGGACCACCTGAAGAAATGACATCACATTAAGGACAGCTAAGCGATTCACAGAAACATTGATGCACAACACGAAAAACATGTTCTCTCCCAATGATGTGGAAGAAGCTATAAAAGATAACGAACAGACGTGCAGGGGAACTTGCTCACGGATAGAAATCCTTCAACGAGTGTGATAACAATCTGCAGCGAGTTGGCAAGATGGATTTGGAGAGTACAGTGTTTCACAACACCGGTAAGCGAAAGATGTTATGCTTCATCAAATGCAACCTCAATCTCTCAATAAAACTACACCTAAAACAGAAGCTTACCAGTGCTCTCTTTCTGCTTGGCCTCCTCCGCGAACCCATTCATCATCTGTATAGCCCAGGGGCTATACTGTATCTCCAAGTTGGTGCGCACACTCATATCACTCCAATTCCTCTCCACCAAATACTCAGGAAATGGGGCATCATCTTCTCTGAAGCAAACAACTAAAGGATATGTCGCAATCATCCTGGAAGTGACAGCGATCCCCTCAACAGAGAGACGACACATAGGTGTAGTAGCACTAGAGATAGACATCGTTTTAGAATGAGAGAGTCCGCAAGCGAATTGCCAGTTTGGTCTGCCTTGGCAACACAATGTATGCACACACGGTGCCATGTTTACCAAGCCTGTGGCTTAACTCCGAGATTGAGTATTGTCAGAGAAAGGCTTGGTAAAAGAATACAGGGTATTAGCTATTGGAAAATCCAGTCGTATAGGCATGATCCAGTCGTTTTAGGATGTAAATCCATAGCAGGGGAGTTACTTGCACACGATAATAAGAAAACCCACTCCACAGAAGAAATCACGATCTCATTCTCACATCTGTCAAGACATAACAACAACCAAGCGGACGTCACACAGAGACAAGATCATAGCTAAAAGTTGCATAAAATTTTGAAAAAATCTTGAAAAAGAATTATCTATACAGACGAAGTATTTAGCTCACCTCAATCCAATTTTTTTGTGAAAAATAAAATACAAAGACAAATCTAAGCGCTTATCATAATCGTACGTCAACTGTATATGAATTGTGCTATGAGAATTAATCACACAGAAATCTACAAAAATCCGTGATGATCAATGATGTCAACTCAGAATATACTAATTATGTGGATACGTAATATCTTTCACATTCAACAGTAAATAAATTTTGAAATAAATGAACGCACCGGAAGGACTCAATAATAAACTTTTTCTTCTGCTGCATAATGCAGCAATCAAATCCCTACTCTGATGTGCTTAAGATCCAGAAGCAAGAACTTCAAGCTAAGAATGGGTTCCAACTCATTAAAAAAACCAATTATACCAAATATCACTAAAAAAAAAGGAAATCCAATTGAAACATGGTAGACCCTGATCTATTCGGTACAGTTACTAATGTACTCGAGTAACCAATACTCTGATCACATATCTAAACCCCATTAAATCCCCACAGAAGTTCTTCCCTTCATAAACTCGAACATATATGCAATGTGGTCAATCAACGTTCAAAACCTCCAACGGAACCTCAAAAAGACTTCACAAGAAATAAGGCACCAAGTCCACTTGAGTGTCATATCAACTACAAATTCGACGCATAGTTGCGTGTAGAAACTCATATTTATGAAATGCCTGTCGCCAATTCTGGACTCACAGAATTACTTCAAAATTTGCCAAGTCTTTCAACAATGGAATGTGAACCATATAGCCAACTGATACAGATTAGGAATCTCCCTGTCTAGGATTCAACTTAGACAACTCAACCAGACAGCTCAAACACGCGAAACGCATAAAATTACCCCGCGGCGCCATGACAAAAAAGGATTTCCACAGACGGCCCACAAGCCTCCCAAGTCGACAGAAAAGAACGTAATAACCATATCCTCAAATTCAAACTCTATCCTCAGTCCACAAAATCAGCAAATGCAATGACACAGTCACCTCAAAACTTCATAAAAACCTTTCAGGATTAAGCTCCATCACTTTGCAATGCCAACAACAGCCACAGAGCCTCGAGACGCAGTACCAGCAACTGCCATCTGCCGCTTAACCAAGCTCAGTCTATCATTTCTCAGAGAGCTTGAGTTCCTGTTTCAGCAACTTGCCCGAATTTCTACAAATTCAGGCGAATTCTACATGAAACGCGACTTCCAGCTTCTCAAAACCGAACAAGCGAGAGGGAGAATTTAACAGCCAGCAGCATTAAGTCCAGGCAGACGACGATCGAGGCTTACACTGCAGCTGCGATTGTCGTCAACGTCACAGTGTCGGGGACTGACCCGGCGAAGCAGCGGGCGACTGAGTGGGTAGGTGCGAGGCAGTACTGACTGAGTGGGTAGGGGCTCGTTTTCATTGGTTCCTGGTGACCGGCGTCTCGTTGGGTGCAGGCAGTACTGAGTGAGAGATATTTGTCATGGGGGAAAGTGTAGGCCCTGGGTGTTGTTAATGAAGGGAGTAGGTCCTTTCCCCCAAAACTCTAAAGTACCTTTCAAATTCTCCTCTTTTTTATAGGGAGGTCGAGAACCACGGTCGTAGGGCTTCAGAGTGCCCTGTAGACGGCCACACCAACTCCAACTCTATCTCGAAAATGCTTGCCAATGTAGAATTCGTGTCTTCTCAAAGCATGATCCAATTCTAGATGTTTCCATGACGGTGTTTCAACAATTACTCTATTTTTGTGAAGTGAAAAATAATAGAAACCAAAATCAAAGTTTGTGAATTTAGTTAATGCCACTTGAAGCAAAAGTTGGCATTTTGTTGTAATCTTGTTATAGAAAATTGTAGATTTATTTACATTTTTTGATGTGAGGAGGTGAAAATTTTTAAGTTAATTTTTTTGTGATAATGTCCAGTTTTAATTTTTTAATTTTCCATTGTCAAAAGAAACTGTAGAAGAGCCATGGAAAGAAAGGTAATCTATTTTGACCATGTAAATCTAGGGGGGTCTTTATACCTAGAAGTGGTTTTTTTTACTTGGTTATTTTTAAAAGCTTTTGACACTACTCCTCAATTTTTTCTAAATTTTACCTCTTAAAATGAGCCCAAGGGGAATTCTAGGGCACAATATTATTTATGTAGAAAAGAAAGCATTGCCTCATATTTTTCTCTTAGAGCTTTTGGACTAATTTTTCTAAGTATGAAGTCAACTTAGTGAGACTTCTCAATTTCAGCCAATCAAAGGATTTAAAACTTTTGACCTCTCAATTTGTCACATTAATATAAGATATTCCTAACATAGGCCCAACGAAAACTTTAGGAGACAACAATATTTATATTATGTGTAATAAAAATACATTCTGCTTCATCTTTTCTTCTTCAATTACTAGGATTGATTTTTCTACGTTTAAGACCAATTTAATGATGAATTTCAATTTCAATTTTTTTTTTTTTTTTTTTTTTTTTTTTAAGTTGTGAATGCTCATCTTACTCTCTTAGTACAAAGTCCCCCTATTTAAAACATTTCAATCTTCAAAAATCATTGTCAAATATTTATATATATATATATATATATATATATATATATATATTAAAAAATCATGAAAAATATAGAAATGTTTAAGGAGCCACAATATATATTTTATAGATCTTTAAGCACTAAAAGGCCAATTAAAGACACAAAGAGAGGGCTCAACATGTAAGTAGACGACTTTCCTCTACATACAAATCCAAACATCTGTTCATCCATGAGGTGGACTTTGACGTGTTTTCGGAGCTAGGGTTAGGTCGTGCTTTGGCGAACTGAATGCAAAATGTGCCTGGTGGTCCTCTTGGAGCGTCCGGCTTGAGACAACGGAACGGCAGTTTCACCAACTATGGCATAACATGGGTCCCTAAAGCTCCGGCTTATTGAGAGAAGGAAAAGAAAACGTACGAATGGGTGCCCCACTTGGTTGCAACTTAGCTGATTCAGCAAGCTCATCCTGAGCTTTGTACCAGAATGAGAGGAAGACCAAGTACACTGCTTCAGTGTTGGAGCCTTCCTCTGAAATTTTATCGTGTACAAGGATGCTTCAAAATACGACGCTAGTTTTCTAGTTTTCTCGCTTTCAACGGTCGTCATCGGTTGGAAGCTCTAAGAGTGAGTCGTCATACTGAGCGTAGCTTTGGCAGCTCTGAGGAAACTTTGATCAGATCGTGGTGTGGGTTTCAGGGCATCCGCGTTTGCATTGAGAGAGAAGGTGGAGACGGAACAGTATTGGTTGGAGTTGTACCTCGGAATGCTGACTTTGAACAGATCCGTCGTGGCTTTCATGTGCTAAAAGTCCCTACACCCTGAAACCCACTGTGGGAGGCAAAGCCTGGACGTTTTGGAACCTTCTTCCTCTTCCAAGTTACAGTGGGATAGAGTGTATAGTTGACAGCTAGAATATTATTATCAAACAAACCTTGATCACAAGATGAATCAGACTAATACCCGTTGCATCCCGAGTTGCATGTTTGTTTCATAATATCGAAAGGACAGTAGATGCTGGAGTTTTGTATGCATGACATGGATGATTCTTGATACACATAAGATCTCAAGTTTGGACCCAGCTCTCCACTAGCTGCTTGCTATACCTTTTTGATAATTTATTTCATACATACAAAACCAGTTCGACGTACTGCATCCTTAATTGGGCTCATCATCATTGAGCTAACAATGTAAGAGGACATGCCAAAAACATTTGGACCTACCCAATTTTTTGATTAAGATGAACAACTATTACACATATTCACATCTAAAAATACCTTCTTCTTGACCACATGAGACTTAATATCTGAGGAGTGCTTTAATTAGAACTATCATTCTTACATTGCAAGGCTCGTGTCTGACATGGATCTGACCCTTGCTAATACCTAAAATGAAAAAGAAACAGAATTGAAGTTGATCTAGTTTACAATATTTAACATCTGGGGTATTAGGCCTATCAAAAATGGCACGAATAATATGCTTGTCGATACTAGAGCTGTCATCCGAACAAAATTTGTTGACACCCTAACCTAATCAGAGTATTGGAATTTGCTAAACCAATACACAGGATACCTTGGACAATTTAGAATCTTCCTCGAACAAATCTTCTTTGGTGCTCTACAACGGGTGTTTTAAGTCGGGCTCCCAACATCTATCGACAATTACAAGTCTTCTATGCTGTTCAAAATCTATTTTGGGTCTGAATGTGATGAATTGTAACTCCAGCCCGAGTTCAGTTGGTGAGTATGTTAATCCAAGGAATTGATGAAACTTAACCATTAAAATCTGGGTGGAGCGCGTGAGGATACTGCATCCTTTCAAAGGTAGATCTGAAGACCTAGAATGTAATGACTACTGTTTCTGTTTGCTACGCTCAACCAGAGAAGATATAACAAAACTCCTTCTATAAAGAAGGATCTCAGAATTGACAGAAAGATTGAATAAGGATGGTAGACCAACCCATGCAACCAGAGTGGTGAATTTCTGACCCAAGAAGAAAGCATCTGGTCAATTCTAACAGATGTGACCATATGTCCCACGCTCGCTTCCCCTATTACAATTACAGAAAAGGTCCTCTGATTTATCCCCTGGCACCAGCACACGGCTGATACGACATCCTCAAACCCTTCGAGGACCTCGGTACACACCTAATTCTTTTCTTCTCACGGTACAGAGAGTGGTTTATACAGCAACATCCAACACGAAGTGTCACAATCAAAATGTGTAGAGCAACATCACAAGAGGCGGCAACTCAACATCTATAGTTTATTGATGGTATTTTATTACGAAGCTTTGATGTGAAGGGCCATGTTGATGATGAGCTGCAATAGTCAAAATACAAGCAACAGGGAACAAGAATTAGGTGTGTACCTGCTGGCAAGTCGAATTGGACGCACTTTCCGGGTAGTGACCAAAAACCTCTTAATGGCTTCATAGCACACTAAGAAGACTGCAGATGCTGGAACCTGCTCCCAATCCATGAGTTAGGTTCTCAGGACAGGCAGCTGGACAATGATGCAAGTAGAGTCAGCCTAATCTCGTTGCTACTTGTATTCAAGTTTTCAGAATTTTGAAGTTTCCTTCATGTTAATACCATGCTCTCTACCACTTTCTGTCTGTTGTGAAGTCTGTCCACGTAGGGACGAGGAAATATAGGTTGATGAGTTGACTTTGTTGAAGAAACTTAAGTTACAACAACTGGCTAAAATACAACAAAAGGAAAGAAAGAATACCAACTTTGTACAGAACGCGAGGTACCATCCCTCTACCGAATCCAGCGATACCCTGAGATCAAACAACAAACAAACAACCCTGACATTCTCAGACATTACATTATTGAAGGTACCAAATAATTATATTACAACTCCACAGCAGACACAATCATTACTAAGCAATCCAGTTACCTCCTCCAACCATATCTTTTGTAGAGTAGCCTGCAAGCCCATGTAGACCAATGGATCTGATGGATTCTGAGTCATCACTCGAGTCTTCGCAACGTCCAATGGTGTAGTCAAGGTACAGGCCACCGCTCCAGCTAACTAGTTCATTCACCCAAGTGCATTTTTACCACCCCTTCTTCTTAGAATCTTGACAATTGAAGATCTGCTATTAATAAACTTCTACATGCTAAAGTAATTGACAAGAGCACAACCTATACAACATTTCCTAGCTCTTGGACTGATCCTAAACCCTAAACCTGAAAACGAAGTGACGATAGTGATAGGACATACTGCACCAATGCAGAGATCATGCACAAGTCGTTTTGAATTTTTTTGATCCATGTGGAGATTTTCTCTATGTGAGTATCGCTTCTTCAGGTATTCAAAGGTCATGAATTGCAGCGCTGAATAGGGTATATCCCTGGCAACCTGCAACGGCAAAAGTAATCAATACTTAAACTTCCTTTGTCCTCCATATCACAAAGGTATCCTACTACGAAATCCAAACAAGTCATCACAGACTACATCGAATTCGAATCATAATAAACAGAAACCCTGCGTACTCACGGGCAAACGTGGAGGCATTTTGGATTTACCAGACTAAGCTGGCCACATTGTCTATGAAAAGGACCCTAGCCTAACGCACTGCTTACGCAATCACTCTAAGAGACGGATAACCAGACAATTTACTTGCATGGAATAGCCGCAGTAGAAACCTGGCAGACCTTCGGTGGCCCACACTGCTCGAGTAGCTTGAAATATATCCCTAAAACATTTTCATTCACACTTTCACTTTTATGAGGCAAAAGTTAAACCACAAGCATCAAAATTAACATTTATCCAGACATTTAGTGCCAGCCTAACATTCAGATGGTTGGCGTACCTGTAGATCCCAGCCTGCACTCGCTGTTTAATCACTTCCGGTGGCACTCTAACTACACTTGCTGCTACGTTACCAACCGCAGCTGCCAAGAGAGGAACAAAATCCTCCAAGGTCTGAAAGGGGGCAGGGAAACTAGAAGATGCCCTCTCAATGGCATTCTTGGAGCATTCATAACACGCCACAAAGACTGCCGATGACGGAGCTGAAACAGCAACTGATGCAATGAACCCTGTGTACAATTTAGGGATGCCTCCGTCTCGCACAATACCGGCCAGGCATTGTGCTAAGTTGCTGTAACTCCCTCTCACTTCAGCAGAAGCCTGACCCTCAAACACAGTCACAAACTCAATTCCAAAATAACTCTTTCGTAAATTATAGGGTCAAGAATCAGAATCAACGTGACAAAGTGTTAACCCAAAACCATAACCTGCTAAAATTCACGGCAGTCCCTTCCTGTGAAAAATTCCAAACAATTCCAAGTAGCAACCATGTTAAGTTAAAATTCTAAGCCTGATATGAATTTTAACAGAAATATCACCTAGTACACGCAAGTATCAATTTTAGTGTCTCACAATCTCCAAGTGATGTACCTAAAGAATTAGAAGTTACGATACTGAACGGAAACAAAACCTACAACACGGACGCACAAGAGCACCTCATGTACAGTCAGACAACACAATAGCACGCATTCTTTGAAAATTCCTTCACATGTTTGATTATGGGATATTCAATCATAACCTGTGAGATAAAGTCTTAAACCCTAAACCCTAATTTCATGAACTTCACGTTGAAAACTAGCTTTGAAATTGCGAGACAACATCTACATACACGAGTCGACATTTCTAAGCAGGTCAGCTAACAGCGAGTCTTCGAGGGTACCTAATTCAAGCACCAAAACCAAAACATGTTGAATTGTTCAACAATTCTTCATAAGCAATTGACATCAGTGATCACACTCAACGTTGAAAACAATTCAAAAGAATAAAAAAGAATAAATGACATAAAATGGAAACCCCTAATGTACAAAAATTCACTCTGAAAAGTCTGAACCATTTCAGGGATCGTTTTCCGTGTGGGCCTGAAGAAAACTACCAGTTCAGCTCTAAGACCGAGATTTCCAACTGAGTCAATTACCTGCAAAATCGTTTTGGCAATGTCAAGGGGCTGCAACACAAGCTTTGAACACAGAGATGCTGTTCCGCCTGCGACCAAATTATCAACCCAGTGTGAGGACGACGACGAGGAAACCGCCACAGCGGAGCCATTCCTCGCCGATCCTGCTTGGTCCCTCACCATGCCCGTTTCAACTCCGCATCTCATCCCTGAAGGTAAAATGTTCACAGCCAATGTGCCGGACACAGCAGCGACAATGGGGCTCTTCAAGTCATGCCTCATCAAGCTCAAGCTCAAGCTCACATTCGAACAGGCCACCGAGACTTACACAACCAGTGAATGGTATCCGTTAGGGTGTTGCATATTAGTGCAACTGAGAAGTTGGTGTTCTATCCCGAGTGGGAATGCGGTCCCATCCCAGCGCTAG